CCCCCGCACCCCCAGGGCTCCACCGAGCTATGGGAGTGGGACACGGGCGTGGCGGCGGAGGCGTTTGCGCTGCACGACAGCATCCTGCGCGCCTACATGACGCGATTCTACGGCTACGAGGTGGGGGGGGGCTGTGTAGGGCCCAGGATTTTGGTTTTGGGGTCGAGGGTTCGGGGGTTGCGAGGTCGCGCAGACCCGCGGGCGGCGCTGCGGGGGCGAGGACGCGCGTGTGGGGCCGGCCCAGGTCGCGAGAGCGGGCGCATCCTGGCCTGCGGCGCCGCCTTTCATCGTTCTGATCGCATCGGATGCGAAGTTTCCTTGCGCGAAGCGGGCCGTCGGCCGCGCCACCGGCGCCGGCGCCGAAGCCAAGCGCCGCCCTGCGCCCCCGCGAATCACCTGCGTCACACGCACTCACCCCGTCACCCGCTGTCCCCCCGTCGCCCCGTGCAGGTGTCCACCGAGGGTGACGCGTTCCTGGTGGCCTTCCATGAGCCCTTTGACGCGGCCGCGTGGTGCCTGGCAGTGCAAATAGCACTCCACTGTGAGCGCCCCGCCCCGCCCCCTCCATTCCCTGCAGCGCCCGCGGCCCCCAAGCCCGGCGGCCGCGCGGGCTCGGGCGCTCGCGCCCCTGCTTGGTCGCCGCGCGGGGCCTTCCGCCCGCCATCCTTGCCAACCCGCGCTCCGCCGTGCGCCCCGCCCCTCATTCCGCCTCCCCCCTCTTCTCACACCCCCTCAGACGCGCCCTGGCCGGAGCGCCTGCTGCTCCACAAGAACAGCAGCGTCGAGACCGCCGCCTCCCTCCTGCAGAAGCGCTCCGCGCGGCGCCAGCGCTGGCAGGAGAAGCTCGCGGACTCGGGGCAGGCCGCGGCGGCTACGGCGGCCGCCGTGGCGGCGGGCGGCGGCGGCGCCGGCGGCGTGCCCGCGGCGCGCGACCAGGCCGGTGCGCCGGGTCCGCTGGGGCCGCGAGAGCATGCGGCGGCGGTGCGAGAGCTGGAGGGGTCGATCGGAAGTTTGACGGACAGCGGGCCGCTGCTGGCGGCGGCGGGGGAGCACGAGGGGGACTCGGGCGGCGCAGACGGCGGCGCCGGTGCTGAGGACGGATTGGGACCGCTGCAAGGGGGCGGGCGCTGGTCTCAGCCGTTTGAGCCGCACTCGCCCAGCAAGGTGATTATGGGGGCCGCGTGCGCGCACGTGCACGCGCGTGTGTGTGTACACGCGTGTTGGTGTGTGGGTGGCGTGCTCAACCTTAGCCTTACGATTGTGAGTGTGCATGCGCTTGCGTGTGCTGTGCGCCCCTGCCATTGGCATCGCGCGCACGCGCGCACACACACACACACACACACACACACACACACACACACACA